TGATTCATTTTGCATGCACCACTCTTCATTTTATTTATTTATTTTTGTTAAAAAGGTTTAAAGCATCCAGTATATTTCGTTGCCCTTAATGGTTGTGTTAGGTCACAGGAAATGAGAATCTGATATTAAAGCAAAAGCTCTTGCAGGTCATACATTTTAGGACATACTGAGTTCTCAGGAAAAAAAGTTGTAAATTCTCATGTATTAGGGTAAAGCTTATCATTTCTGAAAAAATAGTTGACATTTCTTTAGAAAAATTTGTCACTTCCCAGGTATTAGGAGAAAATGCTGTCAGCTATTAGGAAACTTTTTCAGTTCTTGGATATTAAGAAAAAGGTTGTAAGTTCTCAGGAAAAAAGCTGTAAGTTCTCAGATCTTTGGTTAAAATGGTCATCTTTCAGGAAAGATTTTACAATTTCACATGAAAAATTTGTCAGTTCTCAGATATTAGGAAAAACATTGTCAGATCTTTGAAAAAGCATCATTCCCTAAAAATGTTGGAGTTTTTTTTTTATTCAAAGAAACTGTACCTAACTTATTATTTAAAGTTTAGTTTTCGTCATATAAAGCGAAAATTATACATTTTTTACCACAATTTTTGTCATCGTCATCCACCATTACTGTCAGAGCTGAACAATTTGCTTTGAACTGCAGTGACTCATGGGAAATGGATAACCATGAAACTCACCCTTTCCTTTTATTTTTGCCACATTTGTGTTTGGGTTTTGCCTTTAGATTGTGAAGTTCCTTATTGCAAAAAAATATATTTATATTGAAGCCACTTAAACTCACCATGTGTGTAGTTACAAACTCTAACCGTTTGATATAATCCTCCTCTGCTTCTGTCGCAATTTTATGGCATAATTGCTTCACCTGCAGAAAATGTCTCAGCAGGCGAAAGGCAGGCTGCAGGGCGGGATCTTGAGTTGAATTTCAAAATATATGGAGATTACTCCACAATGTTTTGACTTCCAAATAGATAGATGTAGATTTTTTTTAATTACAAAATATACAGTTTGGTTTCTTTCTGAAAAGGATTGTAATAGAACATATATATATATATATATA